ATTTGCGCCGTTGAAGAAATGAATGGTGATATCACAGGTTAACGGAGGCTATTCCTTTTATGAATCTGATTAGTTTCTGACTGTCCGCTCTACCTAGGATATGAGGACTGTAATGATGACAAAAGGTTATTTACAAGACCTCATCGAGCGCACTCTTCGCGTATTAGGAGCGTAATAAAAAGAGTTGCGAACTATTACATCAATTTAAGGATGTATTTTCACCTGCTAACCAAGGTCGCGGCCCAGAGTCCGAGAAGATACAACATGACTACACGCGAAAAGCTTTCTATGGAGACTTAACATGCATCTGGGGAAATTCAATCTCGTCTGTGCAGCTGTGTACGGCATTAGCCGCCTTTCAGAGCCAGATCTGAGAGCTGTTAACTTCGCCGACAAGATAGAAGGACAAAACCTAAACGGAAGCCTGATAAAAGAGATAGAAGTCGATACGGAAAGTTCCTGTCTGCTTGAGTGTGTGGATGAAGAGCGATGTCAGTCTTACAACTTTGGAACAATGAAGGGAGACTCAGAGAAATTCAAGTGTCAGCTAATCGACTCTGATCGATTTGATGGATTTGCTAATTTTACTGAGGATAAAGATTTCATTTACAGAGGAATAATGGCAAGCTAAATCGGTCTTAGTGCAACACAAATTAATTGCAGTTCAAAGTTTGAATCTTGTTGTTCCTAATCGTAGCTGGATCTCTCTACTTCAGTGTCTCTGCATAGTTCTTTCAGTAATCGTGCTCTAATCAAAAAAGTTAAGAATTGGCACGGTACGTTAATTGCACGAGTACGTTCGGGTGCAAGATGGCAGCGAGTTTGTTTAACTTCAGGGGGCTGAAATCGCAACGATGGAAGCTGGGCGAACCTGAAATGGAGTGAAATCTCCATAAACTATAAACTAGACCTCCAGGCCCAGAACTTGTAGACATGTTTGACAATTTGTTAAGTGTCATAGCTTTCGCTCTTGGACTATTTCAAATGGCAAACCGTTTTCCTGCATGCAAAATCGACAGAAGGCTTCAAAATTTCAAATAGAAACAAAACGTCTGCTATCTAAATTTGAAAATACATACGTTTCTCAATTTCCTTCCCTAATGTTAGAGCACCTGCAAAGATGACTCGTGCAAAGAAAACGAAATATATATCGCAAACTACTAATCAAACACTCACTTTTGTAAGCGTATCAGAGGTAAGTGGAAATCCGTTAGATTTTTTTGGTTTAAGACCAGCTCAAGTCTTTTTCGTTACAGAGGAGAAAGTCCCCTCAAGCCGATTAATCAAAACGTATATTTTCATCTGTTACCTCGAGCAGCACAGCACTGCGATGTTCTGAATGTTGAAACACCTTCTTTCGTCAATTACTAAAGAAAGATGTAGGACCAAATCTTACCCTTCGCTGGAAATCGTTACGACACATTATTTTCCCACTACCACGCCATTTTACTACGTTAAGGTAACTGAACGCGGAAAGTATGCCTCGGCATTTCACAGTGCAACAAGGAAAAAAAAACCGACGAGGCAACAAAATGGCCGTGACGAACCATCATGATTTTGGTTGTTAATCTGCTTTGACTTTTAAAGGAACAAGCGCTCAAGTAAATCAGATCTTTTTTATCACGTTTTCAACCATCGAATAAGGTGTATCTATGAATGATGGTAACCTTTCCATTCGCAGATTACCCCAGAAATTGTCTTGACTATTATCAAAATGGTTCCTCAACTGACGGTGTGTACTTGATTTGCCCTGATGAAGAAGAACCCTTCCAAGTAGTGTGTGACATGACAACTGATGGCGGAGGCTGGAACACCTTTCCAAGGCCCAGGGATGGCTCTGTAGACTTTTATGTCCATTGGGAATCATACAAAGAAGGCTTCGGAAGTCTAAAGAGCGAGTTTTGGATTGGGAATTATTGTCTTTACCGTCTGACTGCATCAGCCAACATTGTGTTTCGCATTGATATGGAGGATTACGAAGGCCACCGAAGATTTTCCGAGTACACGACTTTCTCTGTGGCCGACGAAAGCGATTATTATCGGGTGACAATCGACGGATACCGAGGCACCCTAGGCGACTCATTATCTTCAATTCAGTCCATGACGTATGTCATAGGTAATTCCATGATTGCTCTTCTTAAATTGGTGACCAAACATTGTTCCTTGCACCATGACTCACTTTTTGTACACTGCGTTTTACACAGATTACTATGTTCCTTTCCTCTTTGACTTTCCTCGGATCATGGATACATTTTTTGCATATTTTTGACAATGCAGTAGGTTATGCAATGCTTCCAGCAGCATTACTATCCAGCTCATTCTAAATTTTTCAAGAAGTTGTTATTTTGTGTTTTTTTTTTTTTTTTTTTTTTTTTTAATACAGAAATATGAATTTTACAACCAGAGACAGAGACAACGAACTCAGTGACGTTGGAAACTGTGCAGAGTATTTTAAAGGTGGTTGGTGGTACAATAGTTGCCACAGGGCCAACCCAAATGGTTTGTACCAAGGTGGAGGTCACGCTCAAGGAGTTAGCTGGATTTCACTTCGAGGATTAGATTATTCGTTAAAGCGCACCAAGATCAAACTTCGACCAGCATGATTTCTGTTGAGGCCATTCCTCAACAGTGTCCATATTTGTTCCGGTTTTATAATTACATAATACCATGATGCCCAGCGTGCTTTTTCTTCGCATTTGGTGAGGCGTTCGTGAAAGAAAATGTGCTCAAACAATGATTTCGCGCCGCTTTGATATTGCCTTGTCTTATCATTTGGTGAGATTGTTTCTTTATTTTTGCTTTTAGCTCCTTCGTGAGTTTTGTTTCTTAAGGTAACTCTAGTTTTGCGTCGTGAACAGTTTGATTATGGCCTGTCAGCTTGTAATCCATGGTCGAGGCGTGCTATGTTGAAGTACAAATAAACTCGTTGAGTTCTCCTAAAGACTGGCTTCTCTCGTTGCTACGAGCCCCTCATATGTTCGACTCGACAATTATTTCATTTGTACAAGTTGTCTTTAAGCTCTCAGCTGGCACAATCTTACAAGAGTTAGAGATATCTGCAATGCGCGCAGTGACTCTTTACTACAGTGGCTTATCATGATTGTAACATCGCTTTTAGTGAGGTGTCATTAACCGAGACGGAGTTTACCGGGCTTAATTTTGATGATAAGGATGCCGCAAGCTTTATAGTTTGTAATGCAGTAGAACAGAGAAAAATAGATTAGTACTTTTGTATAGATCATCGCTACAGCCGACTGATCTCTCTCCTAAGCCAACTAATAAACTTTGTAATCAATTAATGGTTGCTACATGAGGAAGTGAATTAAATGTTTATAAAGTCCTGACGAAAAAAAAAAGGGAAGATCCATACCACACAATATGGAGAAAATCCTGAAATTAATTCAATAAGACTTTTCCCACCGTTTTATTGCCTTCATTTCACAGAATTGCTTTAATTCGGCTTGCTCTTGCAAAGATGATACAACCACAGGCGGCCCAGGCTCTGTTCGTTACGAAGCGGTCGAACTAGACACTAGCAACACTGATCATGACTAATCATTCATATCGTGGGGCTACCCGTTGGGCCTA